GTTTTCTTAGCACTGCTGTCCGATGGCTTGATACCCCCCGGAGAAGTGTTTTTACTGGCGAGGTCTCCATCGAGGCTTCAATAGACAAAGCCAAATCAGAAACAGCGTGTTATTTCACCAAGAAACGGTCCAAAACCACACTTTACCAAGATATCGAGCCTGGTGGGCAGGAGAGATCCCTCCTGCTTTAAACAAGGACCTTTAGGAGGGGGACGGGATGACCCAGATTATCCCCACGAGGGCCAGCAATTATCGTCCCTCTTGGCAGGCTCGGCAGAGTGGCCAGGGCTGAGTGAGCAGGCAGAATGAGATGCTGGTTTATCCCCGCTGACCGCTGAGCTTTGGTCCTCTGCCTTTTGCTGCAAAGATTTTGGGGAATTTAGGGTGATGCTCTGCTACGGACCTGTCCGTAACGTACAGCCGGGGGTGGCACTGTGCTGCAGGCAGCCCCGATGCTGTTTTTTAATGAGAAGGATGAAAACTGGGAGCTTCACAACCACTTGACTTGTGAACTTTGGGTAAGAAGAGAAGCCGTTCCAGAGGTGAGCTCATCTCTAACCCCGGGAAATGACTTCATGGACACTGGTATTTACTCACAAAAAACATCGCATGTCAGATGTCCCTGACTAGACTTTCTGTTTCGAGTCCAGTATGAGACAAAAATTTCCTTGGACAAGCTGCTCCTGAGACAATTCAAGGTTTGGAGGAGGAGAAAAAGAATTGGAGGGGGGAAAAAAAAAAATCAGCATTAAAACTTCTGAAATCAGGAGGGTTTTCTGAGCGAAGGGGAATTTTTGGACAGCCAGCCCAGCAGAAGCACCTGCCTGGGGTAAGGGTGCTGGGGGTGAGGGTGGAGGTGATGGGTGCTGCCGTAGGATGGCTCAAAGATGCTCAAAGAAGAGCAATCGTTACCCCCCCATAATGCCCAGCAGCCGGAGATTCTTTCAGAGGTGAAAAGACAAGTTTTTCTCTCTTTTCTGAAGCCAAGATCCCGGCGGTGATTTATTAGGATAAACAGCAGCAGGTTCCCTGCCCTGTGTTTGTACTAGGTTAATGGAAATGATATCCCGTGCCGCTTTTTCCCTGCATGAGATCCCAATAGATACGCGACGGCTGATGGAAAAACACAGCACTTGGAGTTTTGTTTAAGGTTTGCTCGTGCAAAAATTGCCACTGGGGCTGTGCTACATGGTATGGCTTTCTGGTTTCTGTTTTCTCCAATGTCCTGGGATGATCCATATGGATTTGGGGAAAAAAGTCCTATTTGGGGAAGCCTGGAGATGCTCTGGCTCCCCGTGACCCAGCTCCAGGGATGTACTGGGGCAGCATCCGAAAAGGAAGGGATTTCGGAAAAACCCGACCCGGGGTGTACGGAAAAAAGCCCTGTCTGCCAGCAGTGTTTCCTAATCCTGGGGACCAAAAACCTCTGATCGTTAACGCAGTGCTCAGAGATTCAGCTGAAGGCTGCTGAGCAGACAGCATCCAAAATGACCTTTGAGGAGACGAGCAAAAAAGAAAAAAAAAAAAGAGAGAAAACACAAGGGGGTTACTGTGCAAACGATGGAGAAAAATAGTAATTTTTAATAAGGGACCCCACCCTTAAATGAAGACTTATTGCTAATGCATGCCCAGGACATTTCTGTGTGATGGCATGCTAAAAAAATCCTCTCTGAACAGGGACCAAAGGCTTTGTTGTGGCATGAGCGAGGCTTACAGTTCCTAAGAAAAATCCTGTCCCTCTCTTGCATCATGCAGTCGGGGATGGAGAGGACATTTCTAGACAAAAAGGCAGCCAGCCAGGAAGGAGGACAAACAGGGAATACATTCCTGACTCGCTATTTAATTGCTTTCATGCAGGTGCAAAGAGCTAAATGAAAAGAAAAATAAGGATGAGCATGTGGGGCCGAATTAGTCTCGGCTTTAAGCAGGAGACTAACGCCAGAAGGAGGTGGCTGCTGTAATAAACAGGCTTCCACCCAACTTCTTGGTGGGTTTTGCGCTTTTTTTCCCCCCACCCGGGCATCAGGCTCGTTCCCGTGGTGCTGGTGGGCGATGCCAGCTAAGGAGGTGATGGGGACGGTCCCCTCCCATGTGGCAGGGGCGGTTGGTGCTGGCTGGGTGCCTGCCCTCCCGCACTGCCCGCTGGCAGTCCCAGGGATGGCTCTACTTTTCTCTTTTCCCTCCGATGTAAAGCGCTTTGAACACATAAATTGCCCTCTGCGACTCTGAAGAGAGAGTTTCCAGCCTGATCCCTTTTGGCGGTTAAGTGCAGAAGTGATGGAGGGTTTAGGGGACTCGGATGGACGGTGATGCCCCAAGAACTGACGTGGTCCAGCGCCTGCAGCATCTCCTGGTCTCAGGAGCTGGGCTCTCTGCCACACAATTTGACTCTTAAACCC